CAGCAGCAGCAGCAGCAGCCTTCAACAGCTGACATTGTGGAGTTGTCAGATTGTAAGACAGCTACACGAGACAGCAGCTGTATGGAGCGGAGAGCAATGGTAGGATTCACCGGAGCTGATATTTGCACCAAGATTGATATTTGGCTTCCCCTTGTCGTGATGTGTTTTGAACGTTTGTGTTCACGAGAGTAACACGTGACACTGGGCAAACCAATTAAAGGCCATAAAAAATGTGGCACTTCAAGGAATTGGGCAAATGTGTAACCATTCATCTCTTCGTGGTTCAACAAATTGTCATGATTTAGGGTCACAATTCAATTCACTGGACACATTTTTTGGTTTGCCCTGTCCTTTTGAATGTACTGCTTCTAGTGACTGCAGGCGTGATGTGATGAACCCATTACATACAACATCTACAAAAGTGGATGGTTCTCGTGCGCATGGTTTGATGCACTCACCATGACGCATTTGCAAAAATAAAATCTCCCTAATTTATTGAACCGATGCACCATTTCATTTCTGATGGAAATGCTGCTTTAACTAAACGATGTTATTTGAGCCCCGTTAGATTCCCCATTTGTCTGTCTCTCTCAATCAGCTCGGCGGTGCGCATGGCGAAGGGCTCTGCTGCTCTACGTGAATATTTATTACAATCCACCAAAACCCTCGGCCCATCTCGTCGGGGGTTACTTTCTTAAAAAATAGCCGCTATCCTCAAATCCACGATCCGCAAACTCAAATCCAAATGGACACGTTGGCGGTACACTCGGTGCAGCATAGCGCACCGGTCCTCAACAAACAGGAGAAGAATCCAAGTTTGAACTGGCGTTCGTCTTCCGACTGCTTCGACATCACGAGAAGTGATTTTTGACGCACCATCACCACCCCCGCAAGATTTTTTTGACCGGGTTTGCGAATCGCGGGAAAGTAAATAACTTTTGCGAATTTTTTTGGTTTTTATAATTATCTCCGCACTAGTGGTGAACCGCCAATACGTTTATGTTCCCCTACTTCAACCTAACACGATAAACTGTGATTAATATTCTCAATAGCGTTAAATGTAACTTGTACAGTAAATGTATAGAATGGGGAAAAAAGTAATGTAGTTTACAGTACTATACATTCTCCGTGAAAGTAAACCTAAAAATAAAGATGAGGTTTTTGACATGTACAGTAAATGTGCAGTTTAACATGAAGCAAACTAAATTAACTTACTTGTGCTTCCTGTAAATGACGACGATGATGATGGCGTGCAGATTCTTCCACAGCAGCATCATCGCGAGCAGAGTGCGGTTGTTAGACACCAGCACTTATTGACGATGGGTACTGTCCAGGAGCATTGCGCTCAACCGTGACATTGTGTGGCCCTCAAGTTTGTTCCCTTTAGTTCATTGAATGTCCTTTGACCGGAGTGGCACCGCAAGCCACCGCATGGACGTTCACGTGGTAAGTGAGTACATCTGTTTGTGGTGAATACCCATGCAATACTGCAATGAACGTCAGAAACAATGGTTCATTATCGCTGCATATTGCTGTTGATGGATATAAATAGTATTTAAGATTTAAGATTTGTTTGAAGTAAATAGAATCGTGTGTTTCACAAGGCAAATTTGTATTTAAGGCAATGGTGGGGGGGGGGGGGGTCGTTGTGTGGGTGGGGTGGGGAGTGGTGGTGCAGCGGTTAGCGCGCTGCACTACGATACTGGCGACCCGAGTTTGATTCCCGCTCGCGGCCAACACAAGTGACGAGTATCTGAATCGGTTCTGGACCTCTCCTAGGTCGACTCGGCCTCAAATGAGTACCTGGTGTGGTGTGTATACATCACCGCTAGGGAGACAAAGGCGGCCGAGCGTGGTGCTGGCCACCCAACCCCTCGTGTGCCGTGCTGCCCTTCATAGGTGATCGCTAACAGCACTTGCCCCAACCGTCTGTTGAGGCTATACGGGGGATCTTTGTCATTGGGGTGGGGAGAATGTGAATAACGAGAACTTTAACAATCACACCATCGTCTGGCAGTGTGCGGACGCTGTCATCTGAAACGATTCCTCTCCTGCGATTTTTATTTAATTTCCCAGCCTATGACACATATTTGCTAACTCGAGCAGAGTAGCACTCACACCCCTCTCTCTCTCCCCCTTCCCTCCCACTGGAGCCCCGCAGTTTGGATTGAGTGCTCTCGCCAATAACATCTGACTGCTGATCAGACGCATTTTAAAACCAGTCCAGAGTTTCCTTCCTTTATCAATGTCCACTTGATGAATTCATGTTCTTCTGGAAGCCAACAAGGCCGATGGACGTAAACATTTCTTCATTTCACTTATAGTCGAACCACATGAAGGAGTTTCGTCCCGTACGCACTGTTAGCGAGCGGTCGGTCAAGCATCACGTAACTGCTTCCCGTTGCTCTAACGTCGTGGCGAGTGAACCTGTTGGGGTGGGGGGCGGCCCGTGTAGTTTGCGTGCCGGTCCTGTACACAAAGAGACGGTGGTGCTTTAGGCTGAGCCGTGTCACCGTTCGTTGAGAATTCCCATCGACTCGAAACACACGTTCGCCGACCAAAACTAAAGGGAAAGTAACTTTGATAGGTGCCGTTGAAAGTTTGTTTTGCTCGCCCATGGGCTGTACCAACTGCTCTGTTTTAGTTTTGTTAACGAAGGCTTCAAATGTGGAGAGGCCCGGTGCCTCTTGCACACCACCAGGCACCGTTTCGTGGCGGGAGGGCAGCAGAGCCCATACCGCATTCGTGTCACTCGCCAAACCCTGAGTGACGTGAATCACCAATTCCGTGCTTTTTTTTCTTTCACATGTGAATGAAAGTTTGTGACACTTTTAGGTCAAGAGGTGCTGATTTATGGGAAACTTCCTTGTGTGTTATATGATCCTGTGTCGGAGATCAACATGACTCTGCACAGTGCAAACGCGGCCACCAGAGGGTAACCTATCTTTGTCCCGACCGTGATGCATTCATAGTACGTACATGCCGAGCGTTGTCACAGTGGTAGTACGAGAGGCACTTTGGGAACCACACGGTTGTGTATACCATGCCGTGTGTGTATATATATGCGTTGTGTGCTCTTTGTATGGTTACGTGAGCTGTCCGCAGACTTGTTTGGTGCCGCGCTCGCACAAAGGGCATTTCACATGTACGTATGTTGCCTGCACAGTAAACTCAGTTGCTAACGCAGAGCGGGGACTTATTTTGAATTTGCAAAAAAAGAGACTGGATTTGTGCTCGGTCTCATTTCCCACGTCAGTGCCACCGTCCATACGACTCCTTTATAATCTTCCTTAAAACACAGCGCCGTGGTAAGATACTTAAAGTGCGATTACAATAATTAATGTGGATATCAGTTTCTATTTACATGTTTTGATTAATTCAAAGCCCTGTTTTTTTGCGTTCAGCGAGGCTTCTTTAGGCTTTTAACTTTTTGGTGGAAGATTGCTGAGTATTTCTCCAGCGGATGAGTTTATTGGGTTATTTGATAGATAGTCTAAGACAGAGTTGCTCTAAAAAGGACAGCTCTTGAATTTGGGATTCTCAGGGTTCTGAATTTCGAGACTCTGAGCCGCAGACGTGTTGAGTGAGTCTTGGCGTCATGGTGCGTACCCTCCAGCCATGCAATGGTTTGCCATGATTCAGCATTTTGATCATGATTCAATCTCGTTTTGATGATTCCCGTTTGTATTGTTTTTCTTTTTTTGTGTCTTATTCGTACAGTCTTTATGCTTCATTCACGTAAATGTAACGGCATATAATCATGGTAATTTAATAAGGTAAGCCCTCTCAATAATTTTTATTTTAAGTTGGTTCGATGGGATTAATGAGGGGTTTTAGCTTATTGAGAGGAATCCAGAGTGCCTGTAGAAAAGCCATTCAAGCGAGGAGATGACACTCAAAGCTCCAGTGATAGATTCAGTCCAGACACACCACATACATACAATCGTTGTGTGGTTTGAGCCCATTGCTTTCCTGTCGTTTTCTCGCAGCCCCTTGCCCTCCCGATACTAACCAGGGTGTGAACCCGCCGTAATTTCCGAGGTCCGTTGTGATTGGACATATTTATTCCGGGTGATTTTGGCGCAGGGGAATACGTTTACGACACATGTAAAATAAAACCGCGGGTGCTTATTCACGCGATTGGATTCACCCCTGAAGTCGTCAGCCACAAGAATATATTAGAGTCGATGCATTGTCCAGATTCTTAACGGTTCACTATAAATACCTGCGCTGCGAGACCAGACCTAAGCCATGAATGTGATTCGTACAGTGCGCAGTTAATTTACCAAGTCTGGAGGCTCTGATATTCGTGACGCCATGCAGTATAATGTGATACAATGTGGGATCTAGCAGCGACACAATACCAAGTGGCTGCTCGCTGAATGGGCCGGCCCCTCTTCAGCTTGCTGTTTAACCTCAATAATGTGTCATTTGCAAAATAATTACCGTGCCGGCACCATAAATAACTTTTCTATGAAATATTTTTGATGACACCTTTTAAAAATACTAAACAAAACCCACAGCCTGATGTGTGTGTGTGTGTATATGTAATTGGTAATTATGTGATACCACGGTGCTGATATGTATACAGCACTTAATCTATATGTAAATGACTCCTGTTTTATGGCCACCCAGTGCTGAATAGAGGAGGGGGGATCGCAGGGGTGGTGTGGGGGGGGGGCTGGGGGGGGAGGCCGTGGGGGGGGGGGGTGTGCGAGGTGCCACGCCGCACGAGTGAATGGCAGCGCACTGCCGAGCCTGGATGGTGGGCCTGTGGGTCGCCCCGACGTTCCGCTTGATCCCTCCACTGTCCGCCCGCCCAGCCTCAACCCTCGAACCGTGCCTCCCTCTCCCTGCATTGATGTACGTAGCGCTCTCTCTCCCATAGATGACGCTCTCGCTCTCCATTGGCTCTGGCAGAGTGGATACCACCCACCCCACGTTTATGCCTTCTTTTTTTTATGCGGCGTGTGCGTCAGACTGCGCAGTCCGCTCGCTCGCTCCGAGACGGCATCGGCACCATAATAGCGCAGCGCGGCGCCCTGCAAGCGTTGCATTGCTCTGCGTGCGTGCGAGAGAGCGAGCGGCAGAGCGCGCGTGTTTACGCGCGTGTGCGTTGCATTTTAAAACGGTCGTGTGTTTTTTTTTCATCCGGCCCACGGCGTCTTGGCAGTCTCGGTCATGGTGTGTCTGTATTTTCCATGAGCTTTTAGCCAATTGGAAAAGATTTAGTTTTTTTAAAGATGTATAGTCAGGGAATTTTTTTTTGTATTTAATTATTTTCGTGTAAATAGCTTCCCCTCTCATCCTCGCCGGTCACCCGGGTTACCTAACCCCTCCCTCCACCTATTTTCGCGGATGAGCCGAGCGTTCAGCGGGTAGAGCGAGAGAGGCCGCACGCCACTCCCTCCCTCCCTCCCTCTCCTCTCGCACGTCCGGCGTGGCGGTGTCGAAGCCCTCGAGCCAAGGCCGGCTGTCGAATTGCCACAGGCCATCTCTGCCGCTGCCACCGACGTCGCCATCGCCAGCACTTTATATGGGCCCGGAATGGTGAACACTTTGGAGGAAAGTGCCGCTGCTGGGATATTACGCAGCACCGAGCTGCTTCTGCCTTTGCCGCTGCTGCGTCCGTCGATGTCCAGCTGCCCGGAGGTGGATACCTCGCGTCTGCGTCTGCACTGAGGACCAAGATTTTTCAGCCAAGATTTCCCAAAGGGGTCCCCCCCCCCGCCACCCCATAGTTGCGCTGCAGCAGAGGGCCAAGTGACGAGGTGTTTTCTAAAGCCGTCTTCCTCCGCATTTTCTGTTCTCATTCTACCTCCTTCCATCCGCTCTTCTCTTCGTTTCATCTGCGCTTCGCCTGGCACGGAACGCGGCTCGTTCCGGCAAGGTGTGGCCCTGCAAGGCACCCGACTCTGGTCGGCAGTCGCCCCCCATCCATCCATCCATCCGTCGGTCTATCCGCCCGCACGCCCGCTTGCTGCCTGCCTTGATTATTGGCAATTGCTGTCATTATTGCTCCTGCGTTTTAATCTGCGGGAAGGAGCGCCGCGCCGTGCCTCCACCGCGGGGGCCCCCTGTACCCAGCTGGTTTCTGCGGGAGCATGGATGTGGGCTGGCCGGGCCTGAGCCGAGAGCCACGTTCGTCACGCTCACGCACTGACCGCAACATAACAACAACAACATAACGCCGACAACATAACACCGGCGACGTGTTATGCTGACGCCCAGTCTCCGCGTCAATGGAAGAGGATATCGACTGCAGGAAGATCAACGGCACTTTCCTTCGCAACCACAACTATGTCACTGAAGGTAAGCCAGCCGGGGCCGGTGGTGGTGGTGGTGGTGTCGTCGTCGTTAATGGCCTTGGAGAGAGGCGATGGGGGAGGTGAGAGAGAGGCGATGTGAGACGAGAGAGCTGCAGGGAATGGCGAAGCCGCGTCTGCCTTGCTTTGCTGGCGACCAGGTGCATGTTGAGCACATTGCGTTAGAATGTGTGAAGGGTTTTGTGGGGTTGGGGAGGAAACAATATCCACCTACGCACGCGCGCACACACGTGCACGGTCGTGCCGTGCGTATGCCGCGTGCACTGCCCAGTGCCATCGTGTGCGAGCTGTATTCTTGCTTACGGTAACGTCTGTCACTACTGCGCAGAAGATTAACTCGTGTTGTGTTCCATCGCAGTCTGTAAGTGGAACGTAAAATGGATTATTTTTTTTCTTTTCCACTTGGCGTATAAGTGTCGTCTGCTGAAGACGAACGTTTCGTTTTGAATTCCTAAGTACACCTGTATACGCGCGCGTGTGGTCTGTGCGTGTGTTGTGTGTGTACACGGTGAAATGTTGGCTACCACGCTGCATTACGGCTGTACTTTGTTTCCCGCGACCATGGTGAATACAGCGTCAGTGACAATTGATGTCCCTTGAGCTCAGCCTAAAATTATTACCCTGTGCAGTGTGATTACCATCAGCACTGGAGCGACAAAGTGATTGCATGCAGAACTTGTCTGACACTGCCCCTTGCGCTTTGCGGTCCTTTATAGGTGCTTGCAAACAAAACAAGTAGTCCGTCAGATGTAAAAGGGGCCTTAATGTGTCAACTACACGGAGTGCGCTTCTGAATTCCAGCTTCGCGTTAAGGCCACGGGATTTGAACGTCATTTGCGACGTGAAGGGAAAGCGACAGCCACGGGCAGTTTATAAAACAGCTTGACGGCATCTCTGCCATTGCATTGACAGGTAAAGCAATGCTGGAGAATGTGCCAACGATGTTATGAACGTTTAGCTACCCCCCCCCAACCCCCGCATTGAACTCCCCCCATCGTGACAGCGTATTCTAATTGCAGTAAAAGCTTTGGGCGTTTTTGTATTATTTTGGAAGAGCAGTGGTAACGCCGCCGCACCGTTAATTTAACGCACGCTCTTTCTGGAATTGATAACGCATCATAGCTGACAACGCATCGCATTGTCCCGAAGTGGGGGGGGGGGGGGGCTCCCCAAAAAAAATGTCATCTACAAAGCTGCAATTTGAACACAATTAAAGGCGGCTGCCAGCGGGCATTGAGTTGTGATTTGTCGTCCGTTTAAGTACTTGTGACGCATGCTTCTGCCTGTTGGTGGCCAGGGGGCTTTTAGAGACACGATTTGCTGGACCTGGCAAAGGTGAATGCCACGGCCTTCACTGGTAGCACTGGCAAAGCTCGCTGACCTTTCCGTGACCGTTTTAACTCCCCGTGTGTGATTTTTTTTTTTGCAAATATAAATGATGGATTCGAGAAGGATTTGCTGTTGACAAATGCTCAGGTACAAACAGTTGTCTCTCCCAACTGGTCAGGGCGTGGAGCTCACCGCGATGAATCGGCATTGAAAATAAGTGGCGTCCTCTTGAGACTCGCTGGCCGTTGCAAAATAAGATCTGATCGCCTTTTGCCTAATATCACCAGCTTTGCCATTATTATTGTTGTTTTGACTTAATCGTATTTGGTGTTTGTTGTGCATCGTGGTTCACCTTTGTGGTGATTGATATTTGCTGGGCGTGTTATCGTACACGCTGCCCAGCATTGTGGGGGAGGACGGTGGGGGAGGAGGGTGGGGGGGGTGCGCAGCTATAAAATATTCTTGACAGCAGCAGAAATGGAACTGCGTACTCAGTCTAAGTTTATTTTATTTGCCACACGTTCAGCCAGGGGAGATCCGCGGTGCTGCGTGGGCCACGGCAGCAATAAAACGGAGATACAAACGTCGACATGGCAGACGACGGGCATTCGGTGCGTATTGGGCCGAGCAGAAGAGCGTGCGCGCCATCGGGAGTCGGTGTTTTACCGTACTGTGTGGGGAATACGAAGCTTACCTTCACGTGTAATTAACTCCCCTCCCCCATGACCATATTTTTCTTTTTGAGTCAGGCTGCAGGTTCAGGTGAGGCAGGACTAGCTTGTTGAGCCGTTTTGACTTGGCCCAAGCTTTGACTGCAGCCATCACCTGGTCATCTCTGCAGGGATAGAGCGGTTCGCCCCCCCCCCCCCCCCCCACTCCGCTGTGAACCCGGCAACTTGAGTTCAGTTCCACGCGACGGCTAACGTCGGTGCCATGTGATATCTGACCCTCCTTCGCGGACCCATTCTGACAAACGTGGTGAAGTATGGTGAATCACCCCCCTCAATGACTGCCGTGGTTTGGGGGAGGCCTTCATCCAGCAGCAGCCGATTGACACCCGGCTGCAAGTTGTTGTTTTATTCAATTTTGCGGAGGAATAAAGTAATTGAGGTGTTCCGCTGGACAATGGACGTCAGTGCCGCTGTACCATAACTCACAAGAGCAGGGCATTGCTTGCCTTGCCGTAGCCAAAAGCTCTCCTTGAGTTTACCCGTTGCTGTCTTGCAAGAGACAATAGCCTAATTGACAATGTGTTGTATCTTGTACGCACGTAGCCTACGAGTTATTAAGTGTATCCTGCATTGTGTGTCACCGGTCAGAGATGAAGCAGAGGTTGAAACAGTGTTGTCCTAATATCAGGGTTTTTCTCGTCTTGATGCTCTGAAGCCATCAGTGGTGGATGCAGTTAGCTGAATAGAGAAGTGTTAAGGGGATCGTGAATAAGCTCAGCTTATTAATTATCTTGAGTGGTAGTGGTTGTCCTTGCAGATTCCTCTTTGCAAAATGCTGTACTCGGGGAGTGTCTGCTCCCTAATTCATGAACGAGAGCTGAAATGGGACTGTTGGCACGTTTTGAAAACGCACACCCAGTTTTTGGTAACGAGTTGGCGGTACTTGTGCAAAAATGCATTCTCGAGATGTGTTAAATAAAATCCCAAACCCCGGGTAGAAAAAGCGATAGTCCGTTCTACAAACACTCATTTACGCTAAACAAACTGCAGCCATCAGATGCAACCATGACAACTGCTTTGCACGGATTTCAGTTTTTTTTTCCCCCAGAGAAATCCATTTATATAACGGAGGTGGCAAACAGATTTTACGCGCTATACGCTTAATTATTCATGTGCCCTGATTTTCTTCCTCCGAACGGAACTGCACGGTTGCCTGGGCTTTAATCCCACGATCACCACGCTGCTGGGATTGAGGCCACCGTGAAACGGCAGGGGAAGCGGTTTTTGCCCATCGCACAGCCGGGCGGTCGCCGGCAGAGAAAACGTGGCGCCGCAACCGCTCTCGCCGCGCCTCCTGATTTCGCTTGCCGGTCACATCCGCCACGCGACGCGACGCCGTGCCGCGTGTGGTCTTTGCCAAAGATCGTCAGGGTTTACACCAGCGGCGAGACGTTAACTCCCTTGCCTGGTATACAGGAGGGCGTGGGTTCGATCCCGACCCTGGCGCGTGCCTGTATATGCATGTTCTCTCTCTCTGTGGCCATGTGGATTTTTCACTGGGTCCTCTGCTTTTTTGCTCAATGTTTAGATTCAACATGCGTTTAATAGAGTATTTGGCTGCTGTAAATTTCCATGTGATAAGCCACTTCGTTGAGCTATCGTGTATGGCCAGATCGCTTCTGAAAAAGAGCTGTATAGCTTAGTGCGCCTTACCTGGTAAAACTAGAAAAAAATCGTTTAAAATTTTTTGTTTCTGACAGTAGGCACCTCTGCACGGACGTTGTATAAATGCTCGTAACACTGAAGCGTTAAAAACGTGGCGCTAAAACATGAGATGGAGCAATGCCCTCTTCGCTATTTACGTGCGTGTGCGTGGAGAGCGGTAGTGTAGCGTTTAACGCGCTGCGCTATGAACCCGCTACCCGAGTTCGATTCCCGCTCATGGTCCTGTGCCTCCCCTAGATCGACTCAACCTTAAATGACTACCTGATGCGGTGTGTAAAACAGCACCACTGGGGAGACAAAGGCGGCCAGGCGTGGTGCTGGTTACCCACCCCATCGTGTGTTGTGCCGGCCTTCATAGGTGCTCGTGAACAGCACTTGCCCCGACAGTCTGTTAAGGCTATACAGGGGATCTTTGTCTTTTTGTGTGCGTGTTACCAAACAGCGGAGGTGCAGCAGGACACACGGCTGCCCTGGACCAGACAGTGGGGCTGCTCACTACGCAGCAGGGAGGGAACTATCAATGGAGAGGGCTCATTATGCAAATCCAATTAACAGATTTAAATTGGTATATAACAGTGATAATTATTATCGTTGTTTTCTTGTCACGGAGTCTCAAGGCACATTTTCAGGAGGATGATGCTGCTTTAGAATTTTTGGTCCTACTCTGAATGATTTTTTTTTGGAATAAACCACAACCACATTATGGGCTAAAGCAGCTAAATTATGCACAATGTAGGTCAAACAACTACTTGCTGTACTGCATTCTTTGTGGTGAGTGTCCCAGGCTGGCTTCACCACTGCATGGTCCAACGTCCCCTTTTCCTTATCGCTTGGTTACATATTTGTACACCACGACATTTGTATAATGTGTTACCCCTCCACAAAAAGAATGAGCACATGTCGATGTTATTTAGGCCTGCAACCTAAAATAGTTTAAATACTTGTGGCTGTTATTGTGCACAATGGTTGGAGAACTCCCTTACCCCAGCCATCCTTCCCCCCGCGCCTCCCATTCGCAGGGTTGGCTGCGTATGGCGCAAAAGAAGTTCAGCGTACATACATACACACACCTGTGCTGTCGACTCCCCTGCTCAAGTCCAGGCTCAAGACCATTGTTTCATCTCGCTTTGACCGATTGCATCTCTCCTCCCTGTTAAATCGACACACCCATTGTGTGAGATACGGTCGCGTTTAGATGCTGCAGAAATCCAAATTTTATTGCGTTGCACGGTGGAGAACAGAAGTTAATCTTCCCATTTTG